AAACGCCAGAGACCCAGGTTCAATTCCAGTCTCGGGTGGTTTGCTCTGATTTACTCCCACAGTCCAAAGACATGTAAGCTAGCTGGATTAGCCATTGCAGGGGTGGGGGAGAGACAGTGTTACAGTGATGGGAAGCTTTTTGGGGTTGCACGGTGGCTCAGTAGTTAGCACTGCTGCCTCACAGCACCAGGAACTTGGGTTTGATTCCACCCTCGGGCGACTGTCTGTGTGGAGTTTCTACATTCTCCCCGTGTCTGCATGGGTTTCCTCCAGCTGCTCCAATTTCCTCCCACAGTCCAAAGATGTGCAGGCTGCGTGGATTGGCCGGGCTAAATTGCCCGTGGTGATCAGGGAAGTTTAGGGGGGATGGGTCTGGGTGGGATGCTCTGAGGGTCAGTGTAGACTTGTTGGGCTGAAGGGCCTGTTTCCACACTGTAGGGATTCTAGGATGATCTATGATCTAGTCAAAAAATACCACAAAAGCTGGCTGTAAAATTTGTAGAGTTACATTAAAACAAATTTGTGTCTGTTACGGAATCAGAGGAATTTTCACAGATGCTGCCAGACCTGCTCAGCTTTTCCAGCAACTTCTGTTTATTTTTTCAGAAGAATCTATTTTGGATATACAGAAACGGCAGGGAAGCAACATTATTTCTTTGAGACTGTCTTCACTGAGGAAGATACGAGAAATTTCTTAGTCCTGGACATTCAAGGAAGAATGAGGAGTTAAGGAAAATCAGCATTAGAATGGAGATTGTGTTGGAGAAATCATTAGGACTGAAGGATGCTATGTCCCTGGGACTTGATATTCTACATCCAAAAGTGTTGAAGGGTAGCTGTGGAGATAGTGGATGCATTGGTTCCTGCAGATTCGGAGGTACCAAATGTCACCCCACTGCATAAGGAGATAATCAAGTGACTACAAAGTTTCAGATAGGCGCTGGTATGTCATGCAACATTGTAAATTTACAGACGTGAACTGGCATGACAATACGCTGATTCCAAAATGAAGTGTTGAAAAATATGGTTGTGGCTGTATGGTGGCTGTTGAGAGGACAAATTAGTCAAAGGGCTCAATACAATAACTGAAGATCTGTAATTCCAGTTCATATACAGCAAGCAAAAACTACACATCACAACAGAAGCAAATGGGAAATTCAGACAAGTCGACCAAAATGTGCAAAAAGCCATTTATAGGCCTGGATTTTCTGATGGCCAGACATTCATTATTCCAGCATTGATGGGAAGAGTGCATGGGGACCCTGTGGAATCCCCATCAGAGCAGATTCTTAAGGAATTGTACAGGAAATTGAAGATTCATCTGGGTAACTCTTCTATGCCTAATTAATTATGGGATTCATTCTAACTCCTGAGTAACTATTCAACAGACCCTGTACATATCTCATACACTCATAATTATACCTCCTGCAGACTCGTTAAATACTCCAGTTCTGATCCAACACCATCCCACTCCCTCACCCCGCCCTTCAACCCCTCTCCCCCTCTGGGAACTGAGTCCCCTTTCCACTGCTCTGCCCTGGCCCAAATTCTCCTCCACAGACCTAACCTGACCCCTGCTTCCAGACTTGTCCAGCACTCCATCTATGCCCATACCCTCCCCCACCCCTTCCTAACAGTACCCAAGCCCCTGCCCTTACCGCAATCTGAGTCCCTGCTTCAGACCCAAGCTGTCTTCCCCCCGCAACCCACTCTGCAACCTGACCTAACCTGACATTCACACCCCTCAGACCTGCCCTGACACCAAAGCCACAACGCCAGCGCCCCACAAGACCTGACACTCAACCTCCCTAACAGACCCTCCAAACAGATCTGATTTCTCCAAATCACCCCAATTTCCCCTAAGCACAGCCCCAATTACCTGACCAAGCAGCCATCATGCACCCTACCCACTTGGTACCCTATCCACCTGGCACCCTAACCCCTACCCAGTGTCATTTAGTTCCGCTGTCACCATACAAATGTGGTACCGTACTGCTTAAACACCCTACCTACTGTAATCCTACCCATGGCACCATAACCTCATATTTACTTTATGAACTTATATTATGACAGCAGCTGTCAAAGTAGAGACCTGGACCTTTAAATGTAAGAATGGGGGTGTGAAAAGGCTGTCTGGTTTATCTTCCACTGACAGTACTGCGTTACAAAAAAACCATCAGAATGGACATATGGTTCAGCATTTCTGAAGGAGCTCTGACTGGAATCTCCTCTCAGAAATGTGGACCTTCCTTCTTTTATATCAACGTGCCTGAGTGGCAATCTGTGTGAAATTGCCACTCCTCAGAAAATTTGGCCCATAGTGTTCCACCAGCCGCATTGACTGAAGACAAATAAACAGAGTGAGATGCAAGCTAAAGAAATGTCTACGGAAAAAGCGTAAATAAACAAAGTCAGCCAAGAAAAGTTTTGACATTGAGCCAGAGAGCACATCATTGTAACCAACAGACAATGGAGCTAAACCAGACAACTCGTATGTGCATGGCGTGTGCGTAAACAGACTGACAGCAGAGGAAACATCTAAAATCATAATCAACGCAGTGTGGAGCTGGAGGAACACAACAGACCAGAAGCATCAGAGGAGCAGGAAAGTCGACATTTCCAGTCAGGACCCTTCATCAAACCTAGGGAAGGGGAAGGAAGCTGGAAAATAACTAGAGGGAGGAGGGCTGGTGGTGAGGGAAGGTAGGTGGGATGGTGTTATGTGGATGCAGATGAAGGGGTGGAGATTGGTCAGTGGGAAGGGTGGGGCAAAGAGGTGGGAGCGAGGATGGACAGGTTGTGTCAGGTCAAGAAGGCAGGGATGAGAGGGAGGGTTGGACGTGGGATGAGGCCAGGGTGGTGGGGAGGTTTTAAAACGGGTGAATTCTATGTTAACGCCAACAGTCTGTAGGCTCCCAACGCAGAATATGAGTTGTTGCTCCTCCAGTTTGCATGTGGTGTCATTGTGACACTGAAGGAGGCCCAGGATGGACATGTCGTCCAGGGAGTGGGAGGGGGAGTTTAAATGGTTGGTGAACAGAAGGTGTTGTCGTTTGTCATGTACAGAGCACAGATGCTCTACGAATAGGTCACCAAGTCTGTGCTTGGTCTCACCGATGTAGAGGAGGCCACATCAGGAGCAACAGATACATTAAACCAGGTTGGAGGATGTACAGGTGAATTCCTGTTGCATATGGAAAGTTTGCGTTGGGCCTTGGATGGAGGTGAGGGGTGAGGTGTGGGTCCTGGTGTAGCACTACATGCAGTCACAGGGAAAGGTGCCAGGGGTGGTGGGGTTAGTGGGGAATGTGGAGCGGACGAGAGAGTCGCAGAGTGAGCAGTCCCTATGAAAGGCAGATGGGGTGGGGAGGGAAACATCTCTTTAATGGTGGGGTCGGATTGTAGGTGGCAGAAGTGGCAGAGGATGATATGCTGGATGCAGAGGTTGGTGGGTTGGTATGTGAGGACCAGGGAGACTCTGTCCTTATTTTTGTTGGGGGGTGGGAGTTTTAGTGCAGAAGTGCAGAAAATGCAAAAGATGCGATTGAGGGCATTTTTGATCACTGGAGGGAGGATGTCCAGGAGTGGAACGCGCCATCTTGGGAGTATGGGATCACATTCTTGCAGGAGGGTGAGTGAGAGGACGTGTAGTCCAGGTAGCTACTGGAGTCGGTGGGTTTGAAATAGATGTCAATGCCGGAAATGAAGACGAGAAGTCCAGGAAGGAGTGGGAGGTATCGGAGATGGTCCAGGTGAATTTGAGTTTGGGGTGAAAGGTGTCAGTAAAGTTGATGAACTGTTCAAGCTCCTCATGGGAGCACAAGGCAGCACCGATACAGTCATCAATGCAAAGGAGGAAGAGGTGAGGGATGGTGCCGGTGTAACAGTGAAAAAGGGGCTGTTCCATGTATCCTATGAAGAGGCAGGCATAGCTCAGACTCATACAGGTGCCCATAGCAATCACAATCAGTTTTGTTAATGTACGAGAGAACAATTGTGGGCATAGTAACAACTCAGTGCAGATGCATGCAATTTTTTTTTTTGCTTTTGCATGAAAAGGGGCATGTTTGGTATGGAAAAGTAAAACTGTATTAATGCACCTCCTGGCCTGACAGTCATACAACCTCTTCTCATAAGGCCCTCACTGTAGTCTTCCATCTTACAGCCATTTCAATAAAGGCACTGTATACACAAGACTGACATCCTATCAGCTTCTAACAAGTGATTAATACCATGGGCTCCATTTTCTAAAAGGCCTAAAATTGGCTGTCCAAAATTCCCATCAGTTTCTAGGAATCAATCTATTTTAATATGGAAATAGGGACCTTATTATGTGAGACCTTGATTGCCAATTTCTACTGTAATGGCTAGACATCGGTGCTGCACCTGTACTCTGGATGATAATGGAATAGTTTAGGTTAGATGGGCTTCAGATTGGTTTCACAGGTCGGCGCAACATCGAGGGCCGAAGGGCCTGTACTGCGCTGTAATGTTCTATGTTCTATGTTCTTCAGCTCTGTGTCAGGGAATCAATCAGTATGTTTCATTCAAAACAAAAACAGAAATTGCTGGAGAAACTCAACAGCTGAAGCACTATGTGTGGAAAGAAAGCAGACATTATGTTTCAAATCCAGCAACGCTACATTGGAACAGTTTTTTTGCCCAATAAGCAAATTAGACACCAGCATGGATTATTTTCTTTCATTTCTGCATTGATACTTAAATGCTCAATATCATTTGCAACTGTAACAACAGGCAAGGAAATTTTGCTCTGTGAATTTCATTTGTTTTGGACCTGAGACAAACTCAGAAACAGCTTCGTTTCTCCACCACTATGCATGTTATTGCACAGTCACAATTAGTTGTCCGTCACAAATTTCAGACATTGTGGAGGTAACATTATTATGGAGGAATAAATCAAACTCAAGCTGAATGATTGGAAATAGCTAAGTATAACATTCATTTCACAGTAACATCAAGGGAAAGACAAGTTCAATAACTAAATTCATCTGAATTTATTGAAATAGAGATTCTGAGTTTAGACAATGTGTATTTGATGTAACATAAAGAATTTTTTTTAAAAAAGTCTTTAAAACTTCGTGTAATTTCATGATAATAAAATGTTTGAGACTTTAACCTACATACAGTCCAGCCACGCATTCACAATTCGATCCCTTTGAAACTTTTTTTGTAACTTTTAAAATATATTTTACTTTAGACATTCAAAAGTGCAACATGTAACGTGCCTGTGGAGTACATCACAGTCAAAAATATAAACATAGGCAGTGATACAGCTAGACATAAATGTATGGCAGTAACTCAGATGACTACACTGAAATACACACACATATATATATATATCTATATACACACATATATATATATACACAGAAATGATGTATAACATCATAAATTCCCAATGTCCTTTGTCACTTAGTAAGACCATTGGATAAAATTTTAACCACATTTTAACATTCAAGCCATTCAAAGATAAAGTCATGTTTCCTCAGTAATGCTACATCAATTTCTTCTGCTGCATTAGCTTGGTTATTTAAGGTATTGTCTGAAATCCTTCTTCAAATGGAAACATTAAACAATCCAGTCTGAAAAATTACATATTATTTTCTTTACAGTTTATCTTACATTTTATAATAAAAAAGGTGTTCTAATTGTCACAACATACATGATTTGTTTTCAATACTGGATATGCAGGTAAGTTTTATGATTTTTAACACTGGCCTGAGCATTAAGGAATGTGTTACATTACTAAAATTAGAATATGTGCCTTGACAATTAGAAGCAGTTGGAATAGTAATTTGCTGTCAGTTTCCTCTTGTGAGTAATCTGTAATGCCATGGTTAATACAGGAAGTATAATGTGCTATGGAATGTATAGTATATTGCATTGTGTTAATACTTCAGCAGTTAGAATACATCAGTCCCACTCATTGGATCTGTCATGTACTACAATAGCAAGTTCAATTCTGATGTCAGAAAATGTACAATCAAAAAGTAACAATGATATCTTATTGACAGTCAATACACTTTAAAACTGGAAAGGCTCATTATGCACTTTGTTCAATCAAAAATAGATGCACATCATGTAATGTCTCACTGAATTACAAACAAGACAAATAACTGAGAGATCCCAAAGTGGAGTTTACTAACCTTCCCTCTTGGCGACGATATTATATGATGCTATTCCTGTGGGAAAATGTGATGACTAGTTTGAATTTAAATCATCAGATTAGAAAGTGGTTATTTAGGTATAGTTAATGTTTGTTGATTGACTTGAATACTTTCTCAGGTTTTAAACTAGTTCTAAACTAGTTTTAAACTAGTTTTAAACCAGTTCTGGAAGTCTTCATGGCATCTCTGTGCACAGATATCAGAAAATTTATTGCAGAGTCTGGATGCTTTATGAAGGCCTTCACTTGCTGTGCACAAAAAAACCCCAAATTTTCTTGATATATCTGGGCCTGCTGTTTGTAATGAATATGGACAAGTTACAAACATCATTCAATACATACTGTTCTTAAATGAGCTTTTACCATCGAATCATGATGAAGGGTTTTGGCCTGAAACGTTGACTTTCCTGCTCCTCTGATGCTGTTTGACCTGCTGTGCTTTTCCACCCTCACACCTATAGGCTCTGGCTTCCAGCACCTGCAGTCCTTATTGTCTCCATTCAATGCACTAAATCCTTACAAGAAAATCATTGAATTTTTCTTCTGATTTCATATTTCATCAGAAAATCTGAGATTCATCACTAATATCTGTAAAAATGTCAGCTTATTATCTTGTAAAATATTTAATTTGTCCAGCTCCAGACTCTGGCTCTTCTCCTACTCCAGTGTGATTTTGCATCACAACTTCAATCAACATGTTATACCCCTGGAAACCAATTGACTTCCAGCACATTAGTCAGTATGATAAAATTTACAATATTTACATATTCCAGGCTTTGTGGTATCCTCTTAATTGGAATGATGGTAGTCAAGAAATCTCTATGATTTACAACCATTGTTGATAGAGTTTGTGTACTTTTAGAACAATAAAATCTTCTGGTGGTGCCAAATTCTCCACTATCTCCTCACTCAAAAAGGAGGCACTTTTGCTTTCTGCCTCAGCTCACATGAAAGGGAATCTTCTCCAGCATGAATGCTCTTCGTTACTCCTGAGGTGCTTTCGTCATGTACAATTAGTCAATCACATCAATTTTCCAAGCTTGGTGAATTCTTCAATTCTGTCGCAGTTGTATTAACAAACAAGTCAGTTTAGTCTTAGGCTCAATCCACCGGCCTATTGATAACAGTAAATTCCAAAGTCATAGCTTTTAAATGTAGATTGTAGTCAATCTGCTCCATGTTCCATGAATCACTGATTTTCCTGAATTTGCACAAGCAATTAAATCGGTTATGTGTAGAATTTTGCAACGATGCAGTGTGTTCTTTACAATGTAATAGCTTCCAAAAATTGTGCTTTGCGAAAGGAGCTTCATAATTGATAATTAGTAGGAAGTATGCATTGAAGAGAACACATGTTTGCTGATGATGTACACTGGTATCTGAGCAGAATGACAAACAACTTATTGTAACCCACCTGGGAAGCAATATTGTCATTGCCTTTCTCCTGTGACAGGGATAATGATCTGATATAATATCAGGTACACAGATTACATTCTTAGCAATAGTTATAATTTTATACGTACAAAGCAATCTGATAAAATAATAAATGTAGTCAATTATCTTAATAAATGTACCATCTTCCCTGTAGCAAAGAACCTTTGAAACGCACAACTAACTTTGTATGGCCTTATGTTTAGTTCATGAAAATGGCTGTGTGCATATGCACTGAAGAAACAATCACCACAATAGAAAATAATACACAGAAAAATGCACATGATATGTATTACACTAGAAGTCATATTGTTTTCCCAGGATCACTCTCCAAGTTGGGCTCTGTTATATGATATGCCATCAAGTTCGCACCTCAAAGTTCTCTTGTTGGGGATGCCTCAAAAAGTGGTTATAGAGAAAACCATGTCTGTATAAGATGCAGTTTATTCTCCCATAATAAATGGAACAGGTTACAGGAAACTGTCTTCCACTAGGTCTGAGGGATCAATTGCTACGTCATCCATCATTTCCATGTCTTCTATGGTTTCATCCTCACGCTTTATAAAAGTCGAGCTGCTGGAACCTGTCTCGATTGCACTTTCTTCTGATGTCTGGGAACTGTAAAAGATTTGGAGGGTCAAAAGAAAAGGCCATCAATATCTAAAATATAAAAATACCTGATGGCGTGATGAGCTGGTGCACTCTATGGTGATCAATGCGCTGGCATGACAGGTGTCTCATGGTTCACTCTTTCGTGCGCTCCCAATTGGCTAAATTCAATAACAAGTCATGGAGGATTTCTTGGCCCCATCCCTAAGCAATAAATAACTATGCGACATTTATGAGGATAGGAAACGGATTGCTTCCTGCCGTCTAAACCAGGAATGATGTATGGCATCCTAAAGGAAGAGGGTAGGGAAATTTAACAGCTAAGGAAAAACTATATTGAAATTTCATAAACATTCCTTGAGTTACTGAAACCTGCTTTCTCTGAACAGCCAAACCAAACTACATAAAAAAAGTCTTCTTTGATACCTTTGGTGATTAAGATTCTTTTGTCTCTATTTCAAATTATTTTTGGTAATTACTTTGTGTAAAAACTGAAAGTACATACCCATCATATACAGAAGCAATAGCATTGTTATAATATTTTTACCCCATATTTAAACAATGCATTTCATGGAGTAAAATTACCATAAAACAGTACTTCTAAAGTGGGTCTTACATAGATTGAGAAGTGCTAACTTGGAGTTGTGGTCCAGTACATGGCAATGGGCAGGCTACATAGCCTTCAAGACTAATACTGTCGGTCACAGAGAACCTAATTTGTCTCCCTAACTACAATGTCCTCTTTTTCATTCCCCGCCCCCTCTATTAAGTGGCTCCATGCACCATTGTGCTGTGGTTGGTTTGCTCACTCACCCTGCATCCCTGCTCCTGTTCACACAAACTGAAAGGATTTCAAACCTATTTGGACAACTCCATTATCTCCTCCAATGCTACGTTCTATGATTCATAGTTACACCCTCCTGTCTCTGACCTCATTCTAAATGAAGTGACTGCCTCCTGAAGCAAAGTATCCAGTTAAGTTCTCCAGCCCCTGATATATCACAATGTTGTAGGAACGGATGTAAAGTTCAGTTGTAATGCATGATTAAATTGACTGACTGACAGACTTAGCCAATTTACAATGAAATCACTGAGAAATTTCAGCTGTACTAGGATATTCTAGAACATTCATCTCAGGGTACATGTTACTTTAATTGTACCTGTGTCGGTTTCTTGAAGAGCCAGGTTCGCTGTCTGTGACGGGGTCAATATCAGGCAGTGGGATGATGTATCCACTGTCAGCACTTAGTCTTTGCTCATCAAATCCACTTTCCCGATCTTTCTTTTTATCTTCATTGGTGTAGGTAACTCCAATGTAAGAATCACTTGATTCTGCCCGCATGCGAGCAACAGCAGGATGGTCACTCTTCAAAAACTCATCGTTCAACTGTTTATAGCTCTGTACAGTTTGAAAAAACAATGAGAGGCTTGTTACCCAAAGTTCATGTTTGCACAATATGACTTACTACATCACAGGAGGCATCTTACAAATCATTATTCACAACAAGGGCAATTGGGACAACCTGAATCTCTAGCAATGAACAGTGTATAGATGTGGCCTATTTGATCCTCATCAAATACTCAGATCACCTATCACTGTCAGGCAACATTCTGATTGTGCACAGCATGCTACCATTATCAGACCCTTTTCACAATTAATATAGTTCAAATTAGGCTGAATCTTTGAAGCATTACTTATTAGAAATAAGATGATTGATGATTTAGTCCAATGGCTGGTAGTCATGAGTTCAGCTCATGAATTAAACTTTTGCAATAATACCGTAGATCACTTCATTATTTTCTTGTAAAAATTAGGTATGAGACTACTGAATAACAATCAGAGATAGTAGGAGCTGCAGATGCTGGAGGATCCGAGACAACAAGGTGCAGGGCTGGATGAACACAGCAGGCCAAGCAGCATCATAGGAGCAGAAAGGCTGACGTTTCAGGCCTAGACCCTCATCAGAAA